TACACTCATAAAATGGCCCCCACCCTCTTTCCCAAGCCTTATTTGTGGTTGCGGGAAGTTCCCTTAAAGCACGCTTTTTATGTGTTCTTGCACACTTATACAAATGCAAAGACGCATATTGATATCCCTTTCTAACGAGGACTTTTTTTAGCACGTATTTTTATTCTTTTTCTTCATTTCTAGTTTTTTCAATTTTTACTGTATGTTAAAATTATGTAATAACTTTTCTAATAACTGCTTGTTGATTAGTTGGTTAATTGTATGACCTACATCATCACTTATTTTGTTTTGTATTGACTGTATCGTTGTTCGTTATCGTAGTCTTGTAATTAGTTTTTTGTTTTCCTTATAAATAACTTATTTTGTGCAAGACACATTCATAGCTAAAATTATGTACAGTTTACAGTCCAACAGATTCCAGATCGTGCTTAATTAGCATCTGCCGCAAATCCAACTTCGCATCTTTCTAAAATTACTGTGACTGTGAAGGCTACTTAGACAATTAGTGTGAGGATTAGACCCGAATAATGTTACTGGGATGAGCCGCGCGTTGGGCCTAGTAGCCCCGACAACGATTATTAATGCCTAGCGGAGAACCGCCACGACGATAGCACGCATTCTAGCGCCAGATGAATCGCACTCTATAAAAGCAATCCCGCTTACCACTCTGGGTCCCACTCGATATTCGTCAGTCGTCTCGTCTTTGTCAATGTCCCACCAGTTCTGCTGCACGAAAGCGGAGAAAATTCGAAGATTTGCTGAGAAAAAAATTGGCTGTGTCGAGAAATCATGGAGCGATGCAGCACAAGTATCAGCAATTTGTACAAACCAAAGAATTACGCGCACGTATATTATCCGCCAAGTTAGCAAATATTGTCCTCAAGTTCGTATATGACACAGATTTTGTCAAGTAATCACCAGTGAAGTACTGTGAACCCCTCCCCTCCCCCACCGCCTCCCCTTCTGCCACCGATATGAAGTGTACAGTATAAAAGGATGTGTATCACGACGACTTGGAAATTGGCTGTTTAGGAAGAATCACTAACGAAAGAATCCCCCTCCCTCGCCCCGTCACCCCCGCCCCTTCCCATTAATACGAAGTGTACGATATAACAGAATGTACGCCAAGGGGCGTGAACTGGTCATGTGGTAAGAATGAGTGACGGCAGAATAGCGAAGCGGATTACTGAATGGTACCCTCCTTCATCACTGTAAGAAGAACAGTGAGAGTCAACACTGCGGTGGAGGGGCGCAGTAGAACGACCGTATGGAACTGTATATGAAAGGCATATCGTTAGAGATCGATTATGAAGCATTTTATTACTAGAAATTTAAGATTACAAAAAGTACATATAGAAGGGGTAAAATGAATAACATAAAAAACCGACATAAGGAGAGCCGTAACAAAATTAAGGAACAGCACTGTACTGGTGTGGATTCAACAGGAATCGAAGCTAACGGCACAAATCGGTTAAGCTAATTGCTAAACCTATCATCGCACTGATGTCCGTAGCAGTGACCATACTAGTCACGTGAAAGTTTTGGCGGGAAATCCACTAACTTGGGAACCGTAGAAGTTGGAAGGCTGAAATTTTCAGGAGATGTTCCCAGTCCACGTACAATCCAACTCCACTTGACATAATCTGTAAACTTTTTGCCTGAAAATTAGCCAGCATTCCAACATTCCAAAGTAGCAGCTACGAAAGTAAAAAAACGATGTCTAAAAAAGTCTCAGGATTAAGTGGTTTTTTTTTTAAAAATTTTTCATGCGCCTGCATCGATGGCGTGACAACGAACGTCGATGACATACATCATCTGCTCAAGCTCATCAAGCATGCGCTTGTATCTCTGGGCATTGTCAGGACAAGATTGCCCGGACTATCAATGTGTAGCCAGTGGTCAGTGCTCATCAGAAGACCAATAAACAAGAAATAATAATAAACTGTGTACGCTTCCTTGGTCCTCATAGATCTGCATCTCAGAAAAAGTTACTGCTCGTTACAAAATGAAACAATTTTTGAATTATAATCAACATGAAAATTCAACTTGTAAAAAATCATATCCACTTTAGTGGTTCACCAAAAAAAAAGACCGCAATAATAATAAGCACAAAATGGAATTTTGAATGTCAAACACCAAACATCACACAAACGCATGCAGTAGCCGGAAAATCAAGCCAAAACCTATTTCCAGGAAAATGTAAACGAACCGGAGAGACAAACATACCCAAAACTCAATGCAAAAAAAAACAACGAATACTGTTCGATGGGGTTTTTTTCCCGGGTTTACAGTCATACGTAACATAAGTCCGAAGCACTTAACCAACCATGCGACCAATAAAGAAAACCTTGAAATTATCACAAATAAAAACTGAGCTTTACGCCGGCTGCTTCAGTCTGAAAAATATGCTAAAATGAGACTAAGCGCGCGATCACAGACTGATTTCTTGTTGTAACCCGTAGACACACTGAATCCAATGATCGCTCCAACAGAACACCAGGCGTTATTTCGAAGAATTTGTGTCACCTCTGTTACTGCTGCGACGAGGATCATTGCTTGCGGCATATTCGGTTCGTGGAGGTATCGGCGGGGGCTGTACGTATTGCTCAGAAGAGCAACCATCGCTGCCTGGGGCAAAGCTATGCCTTGCACCAACGAATCCAGACGGCGGGCAAATCGGTGCAAAATTTGGAATTGGGCCATTCAGGAACGGTGGCACCGG